CCAAAAATGGTGGCGTTTTTAAAGAGACAAATCATAAAAAATTTTGCCCTTTTTCAGAACTTTACCTCTGTTACATTGTGGATTACATCACATCTGAGCATGGGGTGTAAATTCATTCCTATGATTTGGTCTCTTGCTCCTGCTTTTCACTATGAGAACAGAGTTTATCTAGTTCACCAGCCAGCCTGGAGTTTAGAGCCCAGAATGAGCAGACATGGAGAGCTGAGTAGGGTGTACCCAGTGCACAGGTCCACAACTGGGAAATAAATGTTTGTTGTTATAAGCCACTGAAATATTAGGGTTGTTGTGAGTATAAGTGTTTAATATTGAAGTTGGTACCAGACAGTGGGTTATTGCCATAACAAAGCCCTAAAATATGTGGTGTTGGCTTAAGAGCCAATACCCTAGTGAGAAAACCTGTAAGAGGCTGGAAAATTGGCAACCCATGTTATACAATGGCAAAAAATTTGGTAAAATCATTGTCTGTGATAACTTGAAAGGCAGAAAATGCACTTAAAGTGCGGTGGGTGAAGAAGTTCTAAGACAGGATGTTGGTAGCATGAGTTGGTTACATAGTGGTCCTCATCCTTTTTGGCACTAGGGACCAGTTTCATGGAAGATAGTTTTTCCACGGATGGGGGTGGGTGGGCAGAGCTCAGGCGGCGATGCAAACGATGGGGAGCAGCTGTATATACTCTGCTCATCTCCTGCTGTGCTCCACCCCCACCTTCCAAGTTTCATGGAAGACCATTTTTCCACGGGCCGGGGTTGGGGGGCGGCAGAGCTCTGTGGCCCAGTTCCTAACAGGCCACAGACAGATATAGGTCCTTGGTCCGGGGGGTTGGGAACCACCGTGTTACTATTAGCCCATTTGTTAAACTACAACAAGCAAGAGATAGCTCAGAAAAGAATTGGCCTATTTTCAAGCAAGGGAAAAGAGAATCCAGAAATTTCAGGACTTACAATATTGAAAGTTGTAACTGTTTTTATCCAACTTATGAAAGATAAAATTTTAAAATGCTTTGAACCATAAAGGCTGTGTAAGACATTGCCTTGGGGTGAAGACCAAATTGAGGGTGCGGTATTCAGGCTTTTTATTGTTTCTGTATTGGATCATGTGGGCTTCAGTAAATTCTCTCAGTTAGACACAAAAGTTCAAGGAAAAGGGACCAAAGGAATGGCTCTACAGAAGGCTGATAAACTCAAAGTACCTGCAACCAAGTTTAGAGAGGCATCAAAAAAAAGTTGTGATTATGGCTATTGGCGAATGAGCTGACTGGAATGAAATAGATTTTTAAAAGCTTTTGAGAGTTGTATTGCTAAATTGCCAGTCCAATGAAAGGATAATGACTGTTCAAAATATAAAATGGCTCTTGAGCCCCAGCATACCTAAAGCAGGAAGTGGACTAAGAAAGCTGTTTGGCCACCAGGAACATAGGGAAAGCATTCCCCAATGTCCTCTTCAGAGTGGCCAAGGATATGAGAAAAGGAAGCCTTCTCTGCTCCCAGAGAATGATGAAGAGTTGGGAGCTAATTCTAGGGAGCGGACTGAATACCTTTCCTATCCGCAGAGTAACAGGACCTCACATTTGCTGAGGGGGATTACAGGATTGCT